TTCCGTTTTATATGAATTCCATGTTGTACGAGTAACTTAGATTTTACAAATACGTGTGCCAGGCTGTGAACGGCTCACGTATTTGTAAAACCTAAGTTACTCGTACAACATGGAATTCATATAAAACGGAAAAATCAACAGTGTTATGGGGGGTCGACTGTATTTGAGTTCCACTTCGGGCCAATTCTTTTCTTCCAGTTTAATTTAAATTAATTAATTATTATAATTATTAATTTTAATATGAGATGGTGCCTAATGCCTCACTCTAGTGCCAAATTCATTTCTAATTTATAATCATTATATCCAAATTTAGCCCAATCATTTATGGCAGTTGTAGATGTATATTTGTTTCAATTTGTGATAACCCTTTATAAATAACTATCTAGGATAGTAAAAAATTCAACTTTATTTAAATTAAGAGATGTTTACATTGACGTGGAACCACAACTAAAATCAGACATGGACACAATTGAGGCATTAACACAGCTAATGTACACAACAGATATGAGTGTGCAGGCATGGGTACAAGCCTCAGCTCCTTCTCATGGCTTTATTTTTAAAACTAAACTCTGATTATTTTATGTCATTTAGTCATATTTTTGTTTGCTGCAGTCAGACATGATACTTTATGCAATTATCCCAGAAGCCATGGCAAAGTATTGTCCCTCTTTAAAGTTATTGGAAAGTAACACCATATAGTTATTGCATTTAATATCAAGAATCAAACCAAGCTGTCTGTACAACATTAATACTGACAATTATTGGAACTGAAATGTGGACTGCAGCAATGAAATACATTGTTGCACATTGTCAGTTAATAGTTTCAGAGTGAAGAAAGTTGTTGCATCTAATTAAGATTGTATTAACTCATCCTGAAAAACACCTGTATGACTGCAACAACCTCCCTCCATTTTTGCATGTTTAAAGCTGAACTGATCAGATGTATAATACACTTCTTTTACTCAAGTGTACACATTGAAAAAGTGAGACCAAGCCTTAATGTATGAACAAGGCAACTCCAAGCTTGACAACAGCTCTTTCCAATGCCTCATTTTCACAGCTTAAGTTCAGTCATGGTTCCATGTCAATGTAAACACCCTTTTACTTAGATATTTACATTTAACTTAAAATTAGATATAAAATTATAAATTTGTAATTAGATTACTTTTTAATAATTACAATCATGGGTAGATTAAAATATAATAAATTAAGTATATTTCATTTTTAATCTTTATTTCAAAAATAAATTATTTTGTAATGTGTAAATTAAATCTTATTTATAATGAATTTTATTACAAAAGTAAGTATTTTAAAATGAATTTATTTACTTCACTACGTAATGCATATTGTCTTTCACTCATTCGAGAAAATCCTGTAGTAAATATTAATCCATTTCTCAAATAAATAGCACGTTGTGGCTTAGCTCCTTCATGTCCATATCCTTCCTACATGAAAAATCAAATTTAGTAAACTTATTATAATTAACAAATAGTGTTTCAGTATGTTCACATTAATAATAATTTAGATATGATATGTAAACATTTAAATACTCACAAATAATATATAAACATTTTTTATGGTAAAAGTTATACAAATAATACATTTTATAACTGATTTTAGCAATAAAGCTGTAATTGCGAACTTCCTTAATAAAGTATGGGTAAAGCTAAAGATGTATGATGCTTATATATATATATATATATATAATTATGAAATTTTAAGTGAAATCTTGTTATAGGCCAGTAATAAACTATTCTCAGATTTGTGCTGGTTCAAAGACCACAGTTTGAGTATCACTGCTCTACAGTACAGTACATTGGCTTGAATATGTTTATTGGCAGACTTAAAGTTAAAACTTTCAATAAAATATTAGCTGCTTACATAGCTTAGTACTAGCACCTCAGTAGCACTGCTACATATAACACATCTTTACTTATACAGTGTCATTTTCATCAGTGACGTAATATTAGTACATTAGTTATTGGAAATAATTCAACATAATTAACAAGTGCTCTATTATTATTGTGTTAATCTTTGTTAAATAAATTTACTAAACATAGTCTTTAATCTAAAATATTTTTGATGGCCTGCTGGAATTATGACAGTTTATTACTCTTTGGTAAAAGTTTGCAATTTATACCTGCTGTGTAAGTTAGTTCTGATCTTTGACAAAATTTTTTGGGCTAAATATCAATTTATATGCCAGCATAGTACTAGTATATTCTTGAATAAATTAATAAATTTAAATACTTTTAAAATTTTACTAGGTTTATTTTCAAAGATTTATTTTATTAAATTAATTAATAACTATAAAATATGTATATTAATTTTATTATTTCAAGCTAAATTTAAAATCTTTGTACTACAGTTATAATAAAATTCTCATAAATTCGCAACAAATATAATCAATAACTGAATATTATAAAACAAATAACTTACAACTTCTAATTCACCAGATCGTGGATTATAAATTCTAATTTTTTTATCTTTACAAGTTGTTACTAATCGACTTCCTTCCCAATTCCAGCAACAAGAAAATATAATATCTGGATGATCAATTTGAGATAATATTTCTCCTGTTCCAACATTCCAAATATAAATCTTGCAATCAGCTCCTGATATAAAATTATGCAGAAATTAAAATTCTCAATATAAAAATTATATTATTCATAAGAAAGACTTACTCAAAACTATTTTAAAGCAATTTGAGTAAATTAAGCAGAGTGTACATTAGATATTATAAAAATTTTAAATTTTGTATGTATTTAAAATGAAACTAATATTTTTATATTAAATATCTAAAGTTATTATTATTTTTATAAAATATTTAACTGCAAATAAAACTTATTTGATTTTGTTGATAATTATTACTACATATACATTTTATAACAGCAAGATTTACTTTCTCTCCTAAAGTATAAAAATAAACAAATTACTGGCAATGTTTATTCACAAACTATTTCAGGCTATTTGGCTATTGCACTAGTTATAAGAAATACTATAAAAATAAAACAACTGATAGAACAGATATTTCAACATTTTGAAGCATTAAATTATATAGTTTGATTCCATGATTGTAAGATTCAAATGTGAATTCCTTTAAAGAGAATTTGAATTTCTTTTGATAATTAATTGTTTATACATTTAATTAAATATATTTTTATATGTGAATATAAAAAAATATAATGCATTCTACTCTCAAATTATATTTTTTATTATAAAAAACACACACATTAATCTAATATTAATAAAATTTTATAAAAATTCTACTAAAAGAAAGTTTTAATATGAAATAGTGCATTTTTGTATATCACAAAATGAATTGAAATTACTTATAAGATTAATTTAAAAACTTAAATATTACACAACAAATATATTTTTTAAATTAAATTAATTAAAGTAGAATTATTGTGATATCATCACAACCTGACTGCAATTTTTTAATCATATTTTTATTTTAAAAAAAATCACATGATTTCCAGTCTGAACTGGAATTTTGTATATAGTTAATCAGGACCTCTAGTCTGTGAGCTTTCCATATGTGGTCTCTATTTTCATCTAACCCCATTCTTGAGATTAACAAAAGAAAGACAAACAAACGGACAACAGTGGGAATCTATAGGTCTGTAATTCAAAAATTGCAGCCGAATAAAAAAGCCTGATGATATAATAATCAAACAATATTGCTGAATTTTTAAATCTAGCTACATTATGGCTAATTAATCATAACGATATTAGCAGGTAAGCTTGGTATTGCCCAAACAAAAAGTAAGTACAAACATTAAGATTATTAGATTATTCCACAGCCCTTCCATAACCTCTCAAATACTATAATATAATATAAGGGTTAAATTATATAACTACAAAAGTTATCTAACATAAGGATTTATCATACTAAGTGACCAATCTAACACATTTTAAAAATTCTTTTAAATTGTATACTGTAGAGGAATAAAGAGTTTTTAAAATGTGTTAGATTGGTCACTTGGTGTGATAAACCCTTACATAAGATAACCTTTGTTGTTATATCATAGTATTTGATTTATATATTAAAATAAAAACTATATGTAGAGTATTTGGTTAGTTTAGCCTACCATTGTCGTATTTATTGTGATACTCAGATAGTACAAAATGGCACAATTTCATTGGTAAAGTATATATCATAAAAAATTTAAGATACCATATTTTCAATTGCTATAATTTTTTTCTAATGTTAGCTCTAACAAACTGTTCCATTCACAGCCAAATATCAAATGGTAATGCCATGTAATCAAATTTCACAAAAAATGGACCAAATATTTAATGATAACCTTGTGTTATGTAATTTTCCTCTTCAAATGCCACCATACCTCTGGGTTGGATTGAAAGAAGAGAGTGTTGCAGGAGGAGATTGAAGTAAATTCAACCAATATTAGTAGTTGATCTCCTCCCTATAGAGAGAAAGGTCAACGACTACTAATTAATACTGGTCTAATATTAATATTTGAAAAGTGATCCATGTTGGATAGGTTGTGATGGCTCTGCATGTGATCAAAGTTGATAACCTGACTTTGTATGACTTGTTAAATAAAATTCTTTTAAAGTTGCAAGAATAATTGCTTTTATGTGATCCAATAAAAAAACTGGTGAAACCAGGTTGAAAAAGTAACATTCAGCAAAAACATCTATGTAAAGAAAACTTTTGAAATTTGTGGCATAAGCAATAGTGGATGCAGATTTGACAGTAAGACTCAACATGTATATAAAGTGCACATTACCCTACAGGAAATAATTAGAAAATGAAATAGAAAAATGTATTATCTTAAAAATGTGAAGTAAAACATTTAGAGTTTGGTGAGAAATTTATGAACATGTCAACTTCAAAATGTTGAGAATGCTGACATTGTTCCTCAAAATGATGACATATGTAACATGTTAATTAAATTTAATTTAGTTGTTTGTGCCACCCATTTTTCAATTAAATTGTCCCAGCTAGTAACTGATCCCAAACTTGTTTGATACTTCTACATACACACACAAACAGGAAATATGAATGAATCCTCCTAATTCAACTAACAAAGTGGGCATTACTTAAAAAAGGTACCTAAATAAAAGATAGCAAAAGAGAAATAAAAAAGGGGAATAAAGCTACAAGCCAACCAATGCTGTATGTCATTGGGATAGATAATCTCTATGATACTAATAAATTATAATGTTTTAAATATTGGAAGACGAGATCAAACCAGATGTCTGTGGGTTCAAGTCACGCACTGAGCCGGTTCATTTCTTTCAGTAGTTCTAAATTATTTAATTAAAAATTATAATTTTTAAATTTATTAAGAGATGGCACATAATGCCTCCCTCTAGTNTATATATATATATTTTATAATAATAAGATTATGATTACACTGAATAATCATTTTTACTTATCTCTTCCACCATTTTAATCATCAACTGCAGATTCACTGACTTGAGATACTGTTCAAAAAGTACTCAGAAAAATTCTACTTTGTCCCCAAAACAACTAGACTTCTTGCTGTGTCCCCCTAAACAACTATATTTCTTACTTAACATTTTGTGTTACTGAACACAGCTCTGAGCTATTTTTTGTGATGTCTTTAATGGAACTTAATCATTAAAAAGAGCTTGCCAAGAAAATCTAGGTCAAAATGCAAAAAACAGAATAGCAATGCAAATTGAAAATGCAAAATAGTTGTATTTTGTCTATTAAAACTATTAATAGGATTTTTAAATTCGCACAAATTTGTAAAAATTACAAAATATCTACAACATTAATATAACAATTATACACACCAACTTTTCACAACTTAATTATAACAATAATTGATCAAAAATTAAGTAATATATACAGATAAAAATACATATTTGAACTTATTAATCATTATTTTTTTTTCTTTTGATGTAAAATTATTTTGGCAGAAAAAGCAGTTGATTCTACTACTTGGTTAACTATTGCTTATAAATTATAAAAATTGCATAATACAATAGTAGTCAAAGATTAAAGCTAAAATAAAAGTTTAAGTAAAAAGTGAAGTGTTTATTTAAACAGTATTGTTTGATTTCATGCATCTTACAGTACTAACAAAAAAGATTTGTTAACAACTTACCAAATAGCAGAAAAATAAAACACTTAAATTTACAGTAGTAAAAAATGAAGATGTATAAACAAAATAAAAAATACCATTTCCTATTAAAGAAAACAGTATTTGCTAACTTAAAATAAACATAGAAAGTGCCATTGCAATATTTAATATGGCAATTTTGATAACAAAGTTGTGTAATGAAAACATTGAAATGCACATAATTTAAATACAGTAGAGCGTCGATTATCCGAATCAATTGGAGACTGGGGTTGTTCGGAAAATTGATTTTTTGAATAACCAATTATGTACAAAAAAATACATTATTAATATAGTATATTAATAAATCTATTATTGGGATATTAGTATATCCCAATAATAGTATATTAATATATCACATGTTTAAATTTTTCTCCATTGCGTGTCGCTGGCATTGAATTTTCATCAATGTGAAGCCTAACGAAAATTTTTATAATAATCGTGACTCATTAAAAATTATTTCTTTATTTTGTACAAACAAAATAAATATATTGAAAATATAAAAACAAAAAAATTATACTTTAGAAGTTAATCTAGTATCAAAAACGTTTGATTCAGCATGACACAGTCCAAGTGGAATGCTTTCGGTTGATCAGCATTCGGATAATCGACGCTCTACTGTATAATCATTTATATTTAAATTATTATATTTCAATTCAGAACAAAAATTTTATTGTATGTGTATTTTAAGATGTTGCTATTTTGATATATTGTAATATAAATACTTAAAATTAGATTCAAAAATTTAAAATTTCTAAATATTTACAAATAATTGTATAGTGAAAATTATTTCTAAATTTTTGTCTTGAATAGCCATGACCATGTATAAAGAATAATTAATCAAATTCATATTTGGTTACTTTTTAAAAAGTTATTCTAACTATAATTCAGTAATAATTCTTTATTGAAATAACTAGCTATAATTCTAATTATTGAATCTCCATAATTATTCCAATGTTTCAATTTTTACCAATTGACAACTTTAATGATTAAAATATTTTATTTTATACATATTTCAAATCAATCTAAAGCAAGCAATTAAAATAATATTATTTTAATCAATAAATCAAAATATTAAAATATATTTTACAAAACTAAAAAATTTAAGAAAAATAAACCCCAAACCACACACCAGGGTATATATAACAAAAAACAAACAGACTCACTTGAACCTTTAACCGGTGCATAATAAGTAAAATATAATAAATCCAAATGTTTTCATAACCCCTTCTTCCAGGTACTTCATCAGGTAAATCAGCTGGATCTTCTAAAAAGAATCCAGCTGATTTATCTGATGAAGAACCCAGAAGGAGTTATGAAAACATTTGGATTTATTATATTTTACTTATTACACACTGGTTAAAGGTTCAAGTGAGTCCATTTTTTTTTAGTTATTTAAGAAAAAGTTTTTGAAACAACTAAAAATAACTAAAATTTAAATTTAATAGAGTATTGAAAATTTTAATACTATACCATAAAAAATAAAACAGAAGAAAAATGAATTCTTAGTAATATGTATACAAAAATTTCCTATAAATTCAAGGCATAAAATTCTCTTAAGACAATGTTGAATTAAAATTTTCACACATATAGATTAAAAAAATTTTAATTTAAATTATTCAAGATTACTTAGTATTTTAAAGTAAAATCATAAAATCACAAGAATTTTAAAATTAAAAAAACTTAATAGGAAATAAAACTTTGGTTATGTCAATCTTAATCTTATTATCCTATGATAGTTATTATATAAATATTTTATCTATAATGGTAAAATAGTTTAAATAATAAGGAACTTCAACACCTTTGTATTAACTTAGAAGGAAGTAGTTTATAAACCTAAACAGTGTAGTAACATTATGTACTGAACAACATAAAAATCTTTGTGCAGCTAGGAATATATTAAGGATTAAGTAAATTATATTAAAATATTTATTATATAATTATCATTATCGAATAAAATAATTTTACTATTATGCAATTAGTAGGACATGGGCATATAAGATGCAACAAGTGAATAGGGCTGTAAATGCTATCTATTTGGAGAATAATGAAGATATATGTAACATTGAACAACAATTACATGTAATAACAGCAAAAGTGTACAGGAACTTTATCAAAAAAGGTAAATAAATACTATTAAGCATTTATATTAATAAGTTTGTATTGCCATAAAGTTATGATTGTAAATGAAAAATACAATTATGTAGTTATAAGTAAGTGCAGTTATTGACAGCTAGCTATTTATGGTGTTTTAATGTTATAGTATACATAATTTTAGACATGGTGTAAATTATACTATTGTGTCTTATAACAAGTTTGTACCTAACCAATAAGTAGCTAACTGATGAAGGCTGTATCACTGTATTTAAAGCCAAAATGAATTTTAGTTCAGAAAGAATAAAGATATCAGTATTTATCTAATAAATTAGCTTTATGAAAGTTTCAATTTGTAAATATACACAACAAACGAAACCTGATATTAAGCAAATATACACCCACAACTGTCGTAAATGATCAGGCTAAATTTAATAACAACCGTAATAACTGTCAAATACAGTTATTACGTAATACAGCCCTATTCGCTGTAATAACCATATGTTTATTACAGAATCCGCGGTGTTAGACTTATATATACTGGACGATAAGATCAGACTGAAGGTCCAGGTGGTGTAACTGTCAATGTGTCCGCATGGTAAGCGGGAGTTGCATACAGTCGACCCCCCCATAACACTGTTGATTTTTCCATTTTATATGAATTCCATGTTGTACGAGTAACTTAGATTTTACAAATACGTGTGCCAGGCTGTGAACGGCTCACGTATTTGTAAAACCTAAGTTACTCGTACAACATGGAATTCATATAAAACGGAATAATCAACAGTGTTATGGGGGGTCGACTGTATTTGAGTTCCACTTCGAGCCAATTCTTTTCTTCCAGTTTAATCTAAATTAATTAATTATTATAATTATTAATTTTAATATGAGATGGTGCCTAATGCCTCACTCTAGTGCCAAATTCATTTCTAATTTATAATCATTATATCCAAATTTAGCCCAATCATTTATGGCAGTTGTAGATGTATATTTGTTTCAATTTGTGATAACCCTTTATAAATAACTATCTAGGATAGTAAAAAATTCAACTTTATTTAAATTAAGAGATGTTTACATTGACGTGGAACCACAACTAAAATCAGACATGGACACAATTGAGGCATTAACACAGCTAATGTACACAACAGATATGAGTGTGCAGGCATGGGTACAAGCCTCAGCTCCTTCTCATGGCTTTATTTTTAAAACTAAACTCTGATTATTTTATGTCATTTAGTCATATTTTTGTTTGCTGCAGTCAGACATGATACTTTATGCAATTATCCCAGAAGCCATGGCAAAGTATTGTCCCTCTTTAAAGTTATTGGAAAGTAACACCATATAGTTATTGCATTTAATATCAAGAATCAAACCAAGCTGTCTGTACAACATTAATACTGACAATTATTGGAACTGAAATGTGGACTGCAGCAATGAAATACATTGTTGCACATTGTCAGTTAATAGTTTCAGAGTGAAGAAAGTTGTTGCATCTAATTAAGATTGTATTAACTCATCCTGAAAAACACCTGTATGACTGCAACAACCTCCCTCCATTTTTGCATGTTTAAAGCTGAACTGATCAGATGTATAATACACTTCTTTTACTCAAGTGTACACATTGAAAAAGTGAGACCAAGCCTTAATGTATGAACAAGGCAACTCCAAGCTTGACAACAGCTCTTTCCAATGCCTCATTTTCNTGCAAGAATGAATTTACATTTGAGACAAAAGATCATGAAATTTTCTGGAAGGAAAGAACCACTATTTAGGAACAAAGCAGCAAAATTAAACCTGTTTATCCAAAGACCTTAAAAAATGAAGAAAATGAATATTTTACTCATCCAAACATTTTCTGTACACCAATAAAACTTTCATGTTTGCATTACATTATTTTTCACTTTAATAACTTTCTGCCCATTCAGTGATGGCTCCTGAATATTTGCATGTCAACATATCTTTTAAAGGTCTTTCAGATAAACCAGGATTGCATTTGCCATCTTTGTCTGAGAAGCAACCTAAAATTGAATGCTAGTCTATCAGCATAGTAACCAATTTCCATCTGGTTCTAATTATCTTTTCTAATTCCATTTTGCTTACCTATATCAACGACAATATCCAGACCACCAAGATGCCGAAATTTCTTTTTATACCAATCATCTTGAGCTTTGGCAACAAATTTTAAGAGACTTTCTAATGCAAAGTCACAAGCCTAAAATATAAAATAATTAACAACAACAGAAAAAGATATAAATAAAATTACACTAAATCATATAAAAACAACTATTAAACCAACCAAATAATGATCAAAGACATTATAATTTTCTTCTACAAATAGATGTTGAATTCTGATCATGCCATCTGCATCTTTATTAAAACTCTGCAGTTTCTCAAATGAAGATAATTTCTCTCCTTGTATTAATTCTATTATTATATTCAAAAAGCTAGTATTATTAGGAATCGCCGTTTCTTTTGCTATAATGTACAGAAGGCTCGCAACATATAATGATAAATTCTGAAAAATAAAAATAACTTTATATATTAAAACATTAATCAAATATAAATTTTATAAATTGAAAAATTAAACATTACAACTATCGAAATCAGTAAATTTAGTTTTTTATATAATAGCGGTCGAAACAAAACTCTCAAACATCAGCAGCATGGATGACTTCATTTCAATATTTGAAATACTGGGAGTATATAATCAAATATTACTCATCTTTACTGTGTTATATCTTTTAATTGGCAACACCAAAATTCAAGAGACTTTTTTGTGGTTACCCATAATTCTTTTCAATGTCGTAAAATTGTTTGCGTAAAAAAAAATTTGAAAAAATGGTATCGTACAAAAATCTGGATATTGATGTCCATGCATAAGTGCTTTCTGAACAGAGTTGACTTCCAGAGAGATTGTTAAATCACTAAAATCTAGTTACATTGATATGTCAGAAGATTGTAAGCAATATCATTAGTTCTTGTACGAATAATGATGATGGAATGTGGAAAATGGGAAATCACTTAAAACTTTGTTTGAAATCTAGGCCTGCATGATGCAAAGCTAATACTGAGATGGTCTGCAAACTATCGTCTACCCCAAATCTCTGAAGGATCAGAAACATTGCCAATCAAATTTGAATTTGTCAGAGGACTGTACAAAACATAATTCATAAGTATTTAAAAGCAGTAAAAGTACAGAAGACTAAAGTACATCACCTTTCCACAGAACAGAAACAAAATTGCAAGAGAAATGCTTGCTTGGCAGCAGGTAGATTAGAATTTATGGTGACATTGGATGAAGCACATTTCTACTTAAGCTACTGCAATGGAGTTTGGAAGGCCTGTTACCCTTTTCCTGGTCAAAACAGTCCCAAAACTTGGTTGACAAGATGCTATGAAAGCTGGCCAGAAGGTTCATGATCACTGGTGGAATGACTTTTATAAGAGGAACCCTTCCTCTTATAAAAATCCCAAATAAAGTTAAGGTGAATGCTGACTATTATATCAGCAATGTACTGAAGCCATATTTAGAAAGAGACATTCTTTGCATGTACCCAGGAAAGATGGACAAAGTTGTGTTCCATCATGACAAAGCCTCTTCTCACACTACAAAGAAAATTGAAGTGTATCTTGAACATCTTAAAACATATACCAATCTCAATTATGTAAAATAAACTGGATATTCTTATTAAATCATCAGACATCAGCCATTTACACTTCTGTTTAGGATTCCTTAAACAATGACTTTTCCACCGACATGCTACAATTCTAAGTGGGCTTTGGAAAGTACCAAAGATGAATGGTCAAATGTAACACCTGAAAAATGTGAACAAGTGTTAGACTCATAAAAACGGTAATGTAGGCTTGTTGACAAACAACAAGGAGCTGGCATTGAACATACAAAAACAATTCACATAAGGGTTCTTAAAGACATTAATAAATTTTGAAGTTGAGTAATATTTGCATATACACCCTTAATATACAGGGTCTTCCAAAAAGAATGCTACCATTATAAATTACTGTAATTATGTTTATTATTAACAGAGAAGTATGCATTGCATATCAATCAATAGAGTAACTATTCAAGTTTTATCAGCAATCTGCAATCAAAACATCTTTTTATTTACCACTTCTAGAAAATGCCATAAACAAAAATGGCAACTCTGCAGCAGAGAAGATGTTTTGTGTTTTGTAGTGTGCAAAGTAGGAAGCAGTCATCATTGTGCAACAATAGAGTTTGCATTACATGATGTATCACTTTGAAATGTCTGCTCTAAGCTCAAAAAAACCATCGAAAAATCATGCTGCAAAATGATGAGTGATTCTGACTGCACACTGAAGAACACAAAACACTTCCTGTTGCAAAATCACCATTTTTTGTTTACAGCACTTCCTAGAGGCAGCAGACAAAAAGACATTTATAAGCAGATGGTAGATGAAACTCAGAAATTTCAGTCATTGATTGATATGCATTACATACTTCTCAAGCAATAATTAACATAATTACAGTAATTTAAAATGGTAGCATTCTTTTTTGAAGACCATGCACTTAAAAATATATAGGGTATTTTGGAAACATTTAGCCAAATTTCACAGAATTATAGTGAAAAACCTAAATAAAAAGGTTTAGAGACTTTTTTTATGCAAAGCTTAATCAGCAAATTATTAAAGCAACAACGTGTAGCAACATCATTTCTGTATTTTAAGTCTATATATGTAATGTGTCAGTAATTAAATCCATTTACTAGTCACAATTTCTTTGTTAATAACTTACTAATTAAGCTTCAGATCAAAACATGACTCAATATTTTTATTCACATTTTCCTCCCCTATAAGTTTATGAAATTTGGTCAAACATATCTGAAACACCCTATATATGTTGGGTAGAACTTGACTACTTAGACTTCCAAGTAGACAAGCTATACTCAACATATAAAATAAAGGACTGGAAGCACATATCTTAATGTATACAAATGAAATTCAAAAAAGTCTACATTTTGGGGAGTGAAGACATGCAAGGAACAGAGAAAGAATAATGGAAACTAAAAGAGGATATGTGGTATATAATAACATGCAAAAGAGAGAGGATTTATTTACCTACTATGTTGTTACCAAAGAGTACAACAGATGTGATTCAATGGCATGATGTGTCTAAAATCATGAATATGACATTAAAATCTGCAATAAATTATAAGAGGTATAGGATAAAGAAATTAAAAACAGAGGATTAAAAGAGACAACAGGGTAAGTCAACCAAACATTCAAAATATAAGATACATATTTTAACACAGGTTAATGTTGCAATAAAGAATTTTTAATACAATTTGTTGTCTCACTGATTATGTAGGTTCCCTCCCTTCAATATAACAAGTTCTAGTTAAAAAGAAAGTTTAAGTAAACAAGTTATACTTAACCCTGTATAGCAGGGGTGGCCAACTTTTATGTACAGAAGATCTACTTTTTATCTTAAAAATGTGTCGCGATCGACTTGTTGTCGTAGGATTAGTCTAAGTGACGAGGGGATGGTGTGAAATGCATACTATGTTTAGATAGGTAAGAAAAGCCACAATTTAATTTAAAACATGAAGAAAAGGTACATTGTAAACAGAATAAAAATTGAAACTCAACTTTTGGGGTCCACCACTTCACCCTTCCTCTTTCTACCGTGTCCCGACTACTCCCTCTGTCCCTCTTCCCATTTTTTTTTTTTGGTTTTACGATCCTTTGTCTACATTTCTTATTTCCCTTTTACAACTGTACGCAAATGAATATCACATGGACCGACAAAACCGCATCTGAGGGAAGACGCGATGGTCCAATATCACTACATTTGCGTTTGCGCGTTACGTTCGGTTACAAGTGTAACACATTAATTCAAGACATTGCAAGCGATCGACCAAAATTGGCTTCATGATCGACCGGTTGATCGCAATCGAACTTGTTGGCCACCCCTGACATATGGCATTGGTTAGCTTGTAGTTTTATAATGTATCAGATTTTAGTGATGCTGTTTGGGAATAAAGCTGACACATTGTAGCACTTCACTGACAGGAGTCCCAAGAAGCTAACTGTCAGTGCAAAAAGATAATGATATGCTTTGCATTTACATCCTAGCCAAAAGGTTAGATCAGTGTTATCCAATTGCCAGTCTGCAAGTTGCATGTAAACCACAAAACAATTTGATTCACTCTTGTTCCATATTTATGATTTCAAGAAAAAAAAATTAATAAAAAAGTGCTCAACAGTGTTTATATTTGTCATATTAAAGAATTTCCTTATTTTTTTTTAATATTAATGTATAAACAGTTAAAAGAAATATTATTTGGTTTGTAGCATAACCATGCTTTTTATATTCTGTTATACTGTTACATAATATTCAATGGATCTATTAAAACTATTTTTATCTTTGTTTCTTATTAATATACAAATTTTTTAGCTGTTAAAATTATATAAATAAAACAAAAAAGTGATCTCATCTAACATATAAATTTTGTATACTTTATCAATTGTACTTTGTTACTTAAATTTTATTCAAACTCAATAAATAAATTATTTTACCTACAGGTGAAAATAATTTATCCATATATCAATACATATGAAATGCCAAGATTATAAAAATTTAATCTATATCTATATAACACAGAATACCCTATGTTAAAATCTATTTCCAATTTATTAAAGTATTTGCATATGAATTACATTTACATTGTATACATCATTTTGAAGCTCATTTAATGTAGATGGGCCCTATTGTTCTATTCTGGTCAAAATCTTCGATGAGCCTCCCCATCTATTTTACTATTTAATTTCATTTAAAATAATTAAAAGCAAAAATATGTCTAATTGCACTCTTCTTGCCATTCAGGCTATTGAACTTACCACTGTCTAGTATAAAAAAATCTTGTGAACTTTCCAATATGTGGAAAAAAAAGCTACATTCAATGAGCAATTATTTATTGTGACATTAAAAATTGCAGCCCAGCATTGTGACAATCATATTTACTATTTATTTAATTTAAAATATATGCTCTCCACCTCAAATTAGTACTGTAGTGTCTTGCCCTTATACATCATACTTTTCTGTTAGGAATGGAGTCATGCCGGTCATCTAATTCCTTTCAGTAGAAATTTTTGAATTGAAATAATGTGACTTTCAGTTTGTATCTGAAGTTTGTATATAGTCAATCAGCGCATCCTGCCTCTAAGCTTTCCACATCTAGTCTTGAATTTCATTTATTTAACACCATTCTCGAGATTAAAGAAAGACAGACCAATGACAGTGGGAATTTACAGGTCTACAATTTTTCAAATTGTAGCCCAATGAATCATTGGCTTAGGTATCCATATCTACATGCAAATTAACTGTAAAGATAGTTACACAAAAAAAATGCTGTATAATCAAGAAATTTTATAAGTCTTAAATTAATGAGTTTATTTGCTTCTTTATTTTCCCTATTTATTTGAAATTTAGCAATAGTATTTTTGCAGCAAATGTTTTGTTGGGTACAACTAGTTATTAGTAATTTATTTGAAAATGTAAAAAAATTTGTCAACAAATATAACTTACTCTTAAGAAGTTTTATTTGATATAAATGTTAGATTAAAAAAAAGTCATGTATCTTATTAAATGTTATTATGTCTAGTATTTTCATTAATCATCTGACAATTATATGATTCTGGTTGTCAAACTTTTCATCCATTAAGCCCATAAATGTATGCCCAAATGTGTCATTCTTAGGCTAATGTGTAACAAACTAAATAGTTCAAAATTAATCAATCAATCCAATTTATTTCTTGGTAATTACAGGTAATTACTTGGTGTTACAGGAGGGCATTTTAAAGATTAACTTATTTTTGTATTCGTATCTAATCATGAAATTTAAAAAACAAAATCTAACATCAATAACACAATGTAAATCTTTCTGAACCAAGTATTTTGATTAAAATAAACCTTAGAATTTAATATAAAATAATAAAATCACATCATTAAATTAACTATTTTATAACAATTACATTCTGCAATCATCAAGGAAAGCAAAGCATTTAAGCTTCTATGTTATAAAAAAGCTATAAAGATTTATAAATTTTATATACATAAATTCATTAAAAATACTCAAAGCCATCATAAACATTATCAGTATTACATGAATAAAAAGCAGTCAATATCTTGTATTTTTCTCTTATAGTTAGTTTATCATATATAAAAAAATGCAATAAATTGGATTGAGAATAAGTTTAGAAATATTACACCATTTACATACAGTACTTCATATTTTATATGCATGGCATTAACAAATACAGAGTATTTATTGAGTTTAGCTTGTAAGAAGTCTTAACATTTATATTAAGATCTACACAGTTCAAGATTATTGATCACAGTTTAGTAACTAACCATGTTATTGTTCATCACCTAATAATTCTATAAAGAATATTTGGAGAAAATAATAAGGAGATTAATGTTCAATTAAGAGAAAAAAAATCTGTAGTTGTGAATGTTTCTAAATCATGTTTATTTTTATTATGTTGCAAGTTGCAAAAGAACAGCTGAAAACACATGGATGAAATATTACAAACTTTACATTTTTTAACATATGATATTGAAGTACACAATATTTCCAAATAATATTTTGAAAATGTTTAATCATAAAATTTAAAAAAAAATGAAAATACAAAATCATGAAACTGAGAAGAGAAAAAAAATCACCAATAAGTACATAAATATTTTATTTTTGGCATTTATTGCGTGTAAATTGTCAAAACAAAGATGATCTATATATAATCATTAATACCTGTATATTGTCTAAACAAACATGATTGCTTCCTTTATCTCTTACATCAGTTCCCAACAAAATCTACAAAAGTATTTCCAAATGTCACTGATATAGATGATAGAAAAGATCAAAAATCAATGGAAAATATTAATTTGGACAACATTAATATTGTAAATTAATATTTTTCTACTGGTTTTCTGATATTTCTAAACTCTAAAGGTTCCTAAATTTTTATATAAATAATTATAATCATTTAGTATAATGAAAGGAAAAAATGTTTAATGATATAAAAATTAACAGCATACATGATAACATGAACATTTTTGTAAATAGTCACAATTCAATTTTTAACATAAAAATTAATTTTTCTTTGTCCTTAAGATTTATCATAAAAATCAAACATGTAGCAATTAAAAGCTTAATTACATCAAGTGATTCTTGATTCTTTTTTTACATCAGTAAAATCACACGTAATAATAAATTATTTAATATACTATAAAAAAAAATACAACAAAATATAAGGAAATATTTAAAATTATAAAATGAACTTAATTATGAATGAACAAAATCATGGAACATGATATAAACTTAATGATGATTTTTTAACATTCATTCTCCATCATTATTAACTAATTTCATTGAACTTTATGAATTTTTAATTGCTGCAAACATTCTTTTAAAGAAAGACAACTGTCCCAAAATTTCAATTTATATATACATAATATTTTCTAAACTGTTTGAAAATTATGTATGTATAAATAACAACATTCAAAGTCCGAATAGTATAACTACTAAATTGCCGAACAATTGCCTAAATATCGGGCTATTATATGGCTAATTAAATGATTAGAATAAAGTAATTTGTCATTAGAGGTAGGCGTTAGGTGCCATCTCTTAAGTAAATTAATAATTAAAATTAAATAAATAAATTATTAAATTAATTTTAGAACCTTCTGGAATAAAAGAACTGGCCCGGGACGGGGCTTGAACCCACAACCTTCATATAGTTATTATTTACTGGGTAATTTAAAATTGTTGCATACCAGCTTGTATTTTCCCGTNTATTGTATATAAAATATCATTCACCTGCCAAAACATAGGAAAAGATCCATTAACCAAAACTAAATTATATATATATATCATCAAATATCAAAAAATTTAAAAATTAATTGCCAAGTAGTGAAACTTTTGGAAATAATTTGACAGTAAGATGATGATTTTCTAAAGAGTCAGCAGGTCCAATTTATCATTGGCATTCTTTTCCATCTTTGACATTTGATAATAAAAATCAATTCAATAATTTATATTTTCTAATTTAAGTTTTGATATAAAATGAAGCATATCATTAATATACTATTATTTCAAATAAATTTATCTTCATTATATTAAAATAAATATATTTATTAAATAAACAAATCTCACAAAACCTGATAAGTTTGTAATTCCAAACAACCACCAGATTACATTGGGCTACTAAGGGGAGATTGGACCAGAGGCTTGGGTAGCATAACTCGCAATGCATCTGCACAGTAAGAGAGTGTTGTGGGTTCAAGTCCCACTCCAGGCTGATTCTTTTCTTCCAGAATATTCTAAATAATTTTAATAAATATTAATTTAATTATTATTTATTAAATCTAATAAGACACACAACGCCTCCCTCTAATGAAAAATTATTTAGTACTTAAATATAATCGTGGTAAAGTAGCCCAATGTAATCTGGTGGTTGTTTGATTTTATATTTATTAAAATATTTCTTTTATCTAATACACATATATAAAATAAATTTTTTGCATGCATAAAATTTAAACAAACTGCTTACTTTAAAAACAATACATAAATAGATATTTTATATATATTTGTTTAACCATATCTGACATAACTGGAAGAAATATAACAAAACTTTTCATTAAAATGAAATTTGATTATTTTTAGAAAAAAATGATTTAGTGTAACATTCACATTTATAATAGATATATCTGAATATTATAATTGCCTATAAATTACTGTATAAAGAAAGTTGTATAATAGCAGCATTTGTCCTTTTTTATAATAATATCTACTGAACAGTATATTTATTTTAAAAATATTGGAAAATCCTTTACTAGAAAGTTGGTAATTAGAAATTATTTCCAACTAACTTCAAAATACCAGAAATCCAGTAAAAAATGCAATATTTATTAGTGAAACAAACATTTTCAATCATGTTTAATGGCCATCAGGTTTTGAAACATAGAATATAAAATATAAAATTTGAAGATATTAGAACAAAGAATAAATCTGAAGACAGCAGAACTCATTAAATACAAATGTAACAGAAATAATTTCATTGATAGATTTATTTATTTCAACTTCACTATTAGTTTTTCATAAACTAAATACATAAATTATTAATTCATGTAAAAGAGAAATAATTTTAAAATATAAATACTAAATGTAAAATGAAGTTTCTAGATAAGCAAGATGCACATATCAAAAATCTTTGATGAAACTTTTGATTGTTTACAAAAAGTTTTAAATAAAAAGTTTACTAAAATTATTGAAAATCTTTTTATGCCATATATATAAAAAAAAATATTATTTTCAATATTCATATTTGTAGGTATATATACTTACAAATTAAATGTGTACTAAACTACAAAAATGGTACAAATATTATGGAATGGTAAATGAAAGATATGCTTTCTTAATTAACCATATATTTAATATATATATATATTAAATAAATCAAACAAAACAGTTATTTTTAAGTTTTATTAGATTTATCTGCAAAAATAATTGTATGCATAAATCTATTCTTGATATCCAAACATCAGAATGAGCATGTCATTGTATAATATAAATACAGTATACATTATATATGTTTAAATAATACAGTAATACCCCAAACTTACGCGATAGGTGGGACCGAGCGATAACCACATAAGTCAAATTCGCGTAAGTCGGGGTATAATTTCATAATTTGTGTAAAATCCAGTCGGATGTATGTAAGCTAATAAATGTTCTCGTTAATCTTATCTCGTCTTTTCATTCGTTCACGATTACAAGAAATTACCACATAGAGTCTCTCAAGTCTCTGTAAATGTAACAAACACAGAAATAAATAACATAAAAATTGTAGCTATGTGTCGATTCCGCACGACACGTCCGAACATATAAGCTAAACAATAGTATGAGGGAAGCGAGTAATCAAGAGTTGCGTGGTGCTCAAACAAAAGATGAATCGACGAGATTCGAAAATCGCGTAACTTCGGGTTCATGTAAGTCGGGGTAGCGTAAGTCGAGGTATTACTGTATATTACTGAAATTTATTAATAAAATGTAAATAAAATGTAAATATGTTAAGTTTGAGTACATATTATATTTATCCAGAAATAATTATTAAAATTTTAAAGGTTATCTGCAGTATTAACCATATTACTGTAAATATAAAACTGGTAATATTATTTCTTTTTTTGTCTGTATTCTGATTATACTATACTACTTTGTTACAAGATCCACAAAACATTTGGCCACCTTATTTTCAAAGGTTTATGGTATGTACTCTATAAAAGCATTACTGTTGTCAGGACACCCTAATTATGTTAAGGTCTGTTATTTTATCAATAATTGCATTTTAATACATGTTAAATCTTTTTTTTTTAGCAATGATTAAATTTGTTTTATTACAGCCATCTGAAGAGAACCATATGGACAAAATTCATTTTGGCTTAAATAGTGTATGTCAATAAACTAGTAACCAAAGTGTGATTAGTCTGTTTTAAGGCTCTAGTAACCATAGTAGTAGTATAGTATATTATTATTATAATTTAATAAAGAAAAAAAGCAAAATAAATTAATCTTAAATTTTAAAAATAACTAATAAAATTGTTTCTAAAATTCAGATTACTGTCATTCTTATCTTCAAAAGGTTTTTATTTAAAAATTCAAATTTTATTTATGGGGNGGGCTATTATATGGCTAATTAAATGATTAGAATAAAGTAATTTGTCATTAGAGGTAGGCGTTAGGCGCCATCTCTTAAGTAAATTAATAATTAAAATTAATTTAATAATTTATTTATTTAATTTTAATTATTAATTTACTTAAGAGATGGTGCCTAACGCCTACCTCTAATAACAAATTACTTTATTCTAATCATTTAATTAGCCATATAATAGCCCGATATTTAGGCGATCGTTCGGCAATTTAGTAATTATGTATGTAAACTAACAAGTTATAAGTCAGTTTTAAAATCTTAATTCTATATCTAAAAATTCTGTATATTTAAAATTCATATTTATGTATTAATTAATGGACAATACAAGTAATTCAAGATTAAAATAAAACTAATGTTTTTGTTTTGTTTCATTAATTGTTAAAACTTTATGATTAGCAATCATCATCATCATAACATGATGATGATGATTGCTAATCATCATAAAGTTTTATTTACTAAACATAAAAAGATTTTAATAAATTCTATATTAAAAAGTGTTAAATAGCAGATAAAGAGAACCTAGAGAAGAGCAATCTCATCTCATGTGGATTCAGCTTCACTGGGAGATTATAAATATGCAAGTTTCTATTATAGTGAAGAGGCCTATAATTAATTTCACTTTGCGTAAAAAATATTAGAAATGTTTCTCCAATATGAATAAATATAATTATAAATATTATTTTACATTTAAACTAATTGCCTCATGAATGAAATGAATAAAAATTCTTTTTTGTATAATGATGAAAATTTTTACATACCTGCACTTAAAAGAACATTATTAGCTGATGGATGCCATAGAACCAAGCCTGCTCTTCTTTGATGGGCTATTAATTCTACAACTGGATCAACAAGTGGTCGTACCAATCCTCCATCTGGAATTTGCCAAACTCTAACAATTCCATCTTCAGATCCACTTGCAATAACATTATCATTAAAGGGACACCAAGCAATATCTAATACAGGTCCTCTATGACCAGCAACTAATGGATAGCTAACATCTATTCTTCCTGTCTGATAAGAAAATTAAATAATCATTAAGAATAAAATAGATTTTATTAACAGCTTATAATTATCATCATTGTTTAACACTAATTATTTTACTCTATTTATCTGACAGTATTAGGCAATAACTCAAATTATCCATTTACTTAACATCTTAATAAGATATCACTGAAACCTTATTAGTATGCTGTCTCACATTATATATACAAGGTCTGTTCAAAAAGTATCGGACCTTTATTTTTTTCGCGTAAACCAATGATGCGCGAGAGGCCTCCTTCGGTGGAGTTGTGGAGGGGACAGTCATGCACAGCCCTGAATTTTTTCCCGCCTGCAGGAAGCGTCAGTCGTTGGCAATAGGCCTATGAGTGAGGTCATGTAGTGCGCTCTCGTCGGATTCCACTAAGCTGGAAAATGACTGAACAGCGTGAGCAGCGATATTACATCAAATTTTGCCAAAANCTGAAAAACATTAACAAGTAAAATAAAACAACACTGATTTGACATATCATCATGGTAATATGCAAAAAAACAAACATTAAAAATAATATCTAAGAGGAAAATAACCAGAAAAAAAAATTTTTAATTTACATTTAATTTAAATTTCAAATAGCAAGATTTATCTGAAAAAAGATAACTGTGTTTAAGTGAAAATTCTTAAAGATCCAAATAAAAATAAATAATTTTAATATTAGAACAATTACATAATAAATAAAATAAAAGTGATATTTGAATAAAAATATATTAATAGTTAAACAGAATTTTTAAAATTATTTAAAAACTTTTAAAAAAAATATGTGGCATTTGCTGTGAATAAACTAAATTATTTAAACAATGTTTTGGAAAAACGCCATATATGTCATTGAACTCTTCTATTCTATTGACTTCAAGAATCTAAATCAGAACATTAAATTTTGGCAAAGACCAAAATTTCATTTGAATTATTACAATACAAGTAATTACAAGAAAAGAGAAATAATTTTTCTCTGAATTGAATCTTTTAAACATAAAAAGCAAATCTAAATTTGATATACATCTGATTTCTTTTAAAGTTACATAAACCTCTTCAGAGATTATTGCTTTCTATGAAATGTGTATAAATTTTTTAATTCCCATCTTCAGAATATTTTTAAAACATTAAAACAATTTCTTTAAAAACCAATTGTTTTATCTTAAAATTTTTAGTTAAGCTTTAATGAGTCTGAATACTAATTAGGAATATTAAAAAAACTATACATTGCCCTGCAGTAATAAAAAGACAGAAGTAATTAAATATAAGGAAACAGACTATCAAATTAGAGTTGATTATAGCTCTAAGAAGTTAGACATAATAAGTTATTAGTATATTTAAATGTACTGCTTCAATAAGCTAAAAATTATTACTATTTTAGTGTTTCTCTATAAATATTTGTCATTGTATATTTGCACAACAAAATGAATTGTATATTTTACTGGAAAACATATAAAAGTATGATTTTAAAGAACAAGTTTGTATCTGATGGTTTAAAATCAAGCATACCATAATTTCATTTTAATACATAAAATTTAAATTATTTATTAAAATGTATGTATTGCAATAATTCATAACAAAATATAATGTGTAATAATTTATAAATTAACATTGAATTTTGCTAATAAAATGTACACTAAAATATAGGATATTCCTGTAAATTATTCCTATATATAATTCCCAAATATTTCTGTATTTAAAATATAGGAAAAGATCCATTAACCAAAACTAAATTATATATATATATCATCAAATATCAAAAAATTTAAAAATTAATTGCCAAGTAGTGAAACTTTTGGAAATAATTTGACAGTAAGATGATGATTTTCTAAAGAGTCAGCAGGTCCAATTTATCATTGGCATTCTTTTCCATCTTTGACATTTGATAATAAAAATCAATTCAATAATTTATATTTTCTAATTTAAGTTTTGATATAAAATGAAGCATATCATTAATATACTATTATTTCAAATAAATTTATCTTCATTATATTAAAATAAATATATTTATTAAATAAACAAATCTCACAAAACCTGATAAGTTTGTAATTCCAAACAACCACCAGATTACATTGGGCTACTAAGGGGAGATTGGACCAGAGGCTTGGGTAGCATAACTCGCAATGCATCTGCACAGTAAGAGAGTGTTGTGGGTTCAAGTCCCACTCCAGGCTGATTCTTTTCTTCCAGAATATTCTAAATAATTTTAATAAATATTAATTTAATTATTATTTATTAAATCTAATAAGACACACAACGCCTCCCTCTAATGAAAAATTATTTAGTACTTAAATATAATCGTGGTAAAGTAGCCCAATGTAATCTGGTGGTTGTTTGATTTTATATTTATTAAAATATTTCTTTTATCTAATACACATATATAAAATAAATTTTTTGCATGCATAAAATTTAAACAAACTGCTTACTTTAAAAACAATACATAAATAGATATTTTATATATATTTGTTTAACCATATCTGACATAACTGGAAGAAATATAACAAAACTTTTCATTAAAATGAAATTTGATTATTTTTAGAAAAAAATGATTTAGTGTAACATTCACATTTATAATAGATATATCTGAATATTATAATTGCCTATAAATTACTGTATAAAGAAAGTTGTATAATAGCAGCATTTGTCCTTTTTTATAATAATATCTACTGAACAGTATATTTATTTTAAAAATATTGGAAAATCCTTTACTAGAAAGTTGGTAATTAGAAATTATTTCCAACTAACTTCAAAATACCAGAAATCCAGTAAAAAATGCAATATTTATTAGTGAAACAAACATTTTCAATCATGTTTAATGGCCATCAGGTTTTGAAACATAGAATATAAAATATAAAATTTGAAGATATTAGAACAAAGAATAAATCTGAAGACAGCAGAACTCATTAAATACAAATGTAACAGAAATAATTTCATTGATAGATTTATTTATTTCAACTTCACTATTAGTTTTTCATAAACTAAATACATAAATTATTAATTCATGTAAAAGAGAAATAATTTTAAAATATAAATACTAAATGTAAAATGAAGTTTCTAGATAAGCAAGATGCACATATCAAAAATCTTTGATGAAACTTTTGATTGTTTACAAAAAGTTTTAAATAAAAAGTTTACTAAAATTATTGAAAATCTTTTTATGCCATATATATAAAAAAAAATATTATTTTCAATATTCATATTTGTAGGTATATATACTTACAAATTAAATGTGTACTAAACTACAAAAATGGTACAAATATTATGGAATGGTAAATGAAAGATATGCTTTCTTAATTAACCATATATTTAATATATATATATATTAAATAAATCAAACAAAACAGTTATTTTTAAGTTTTATTAGATTTATCTGCAAAAATAATTGTATGCATAAATCTATTCTTGATATCCAAACATCAGAATGAGCATGTCATTGTATAATATAAATACAGTATACATTATATATGTTTAAATAATACAGTAATACCCCAAACTTACGCGATAGGTGGGACCGAGCGATAACCACATAAGTCAAATTCGCGTAAGTCGGGGTATAATTTCATAATTTGTGTAAAATCCAGTCGGATGTATGTAAGCTAATAAATGTTCTCGTTAATCTTATCTCGTCTTTTCATTCGTTCACGATTACAAGAAATTACCACATAGAGTCTCTCAAGTCTCTGTAAATGTAACAAACACAGAAATAAATAACATAAAAATTGTAGCTATGTGTCGATTCCGCACGACACGTCCGAACATATAAGCTAAACAATAGTATGAGGGAAGCGAGTAATCAAGAGTTGCGTGGTGCTCAAACAAAAGATGAATCGACGAGATTCGAAAATCGCGTAACTTCGGGTTCATGTAAGTCGGGGTAGCGTAAGTCGAGGTATTACTGTATATTACTGAAATTTATTAATAAAATGTAAATAAAATGTAAATATGTTAAGTTTGAGTACATATTATATTTATCCAGAAATAATTATTAAAATTTTAAAGGTTATCTGCAGTATTAACCATATTACTGTAAATATAAAACTGGTAATATTATTTCTTTTTTTGTCTGTATTCTGATTATACTATACTACTTTGTTACAAGATCCACAAAACATTTGGCCACCTTATTTTCAAAGGTTTATGGTATGTACTCTATAAAAGCATTACTGTTGTCAGGACACCCTAATTATGTTAAGGTCTGTTATTTTATCAATAATTGCATTTTAATACATGTTAAATCTTTTTTTTTTAGCAATGATTAAATTTGTTTTATTACAGCCATCTGAAGAGAACCATATGGACAAAATTCATTTTGGCTTAAATAGTGTATGTCAATAAACTAGTAACCAAAGTGTGATTAGTCTGTTTTAAGGCTCTAGTAACCATAGTAGTAGTATAGTATATTATTATTATAATTTAATAAAGAAAAAAAGCAAAATAAATTAATCTTAAATTTTAAAAATAACTAATAAAATTGTTTCTAAAATTCAGATTACTGTCATTCTTATCTTCAAAAGGTTTTTATTTAAAAATTCAAATTTTATTTATGGGGGAAAATTCAAAAATCAATCATTTGAGATCTGAGTTCTCTTTGTTTCTTGCAATTCAAAATTTAATACTCTAAATTAGAAATTTTCTTTCATAAGATTCTTGTTGGAATTATAATATTTCAAATTTAATTGAAAATCCAACTCGAAATACAGTTAATTTCAAATTGTAGGAAACAGACTAAGTTTAAAAATGTATTTAGGAGTAACATAACAGTTGTGATGTTCCGTTAGAGGGCAACGTATTATTGTGAACAGGAAACAAATAAAACAAGTAAGAATACTAAAGATTTTTATTCACAAACACAGGTTCTTTAAAATGATTCCAACTTACAGCCTATTGGGTTCGATATACATAAGATAATCATCTACACTAACAATTTTCTGTGGTGGCAACCGACACGTGACAACGGAAACAAAACACACGGGGGCGACTTATAACTAAAACTTAACCTACT